TTTTTTTCAAGGGACTGAAAACCAGTATACCTAGAAGAAAATACACTTATGAGAAAAACAAATCTCCAGCAATCCGAAAGTAACAGAATAGTTCACTTGAAATGCAACAGAAAGAAATGATTCACACTTTGAATACATACAGAACTTATAAATCTAATAAAATTGACACACCACTCTTTTCAGCATAAATTTATAAGGTCAATTACTAAGGCTCTATTTACTTTATGAGAATATTAATAAAAACCCTTTATTAGAATACTATAAAACTGTGACTTGAAACTAATTAAAGGTAGATCATCTAATGTTATATAGTGTAGCACCTTTATTTTTATACTATTTTACTATTTAATATGGATTTCTATAAGATTTAGGAAATAAAAAAATCCATATCTTTCTGCCCAGCTACTTAAAATATTTGTGTTATTATAGAAAAGTAAAAATGACCCTGTTTGAGGAAAGTATCTAGGAAGTAGTTTGGAGAAAGGGTTTAAGATATGAAATAACCATTCTGCGTCTAGACTTTTGCAATGCACTGTTCAGCCACCAGCCAGGTTTCCTGCCTGTGATCCACCATCAATTGTCACTAGCCAAAGATCTAACCTGTCTTGTTGCTATTTCTCCTGATACAGTCAAGTCAAGGAGCAATTGCTGACAGCAACCAAGGAAACTCAGTACAGTCCTGACGGGTTTTTCCAACAATTGCAACTAGGTTATCAGTCCCTGGTTTCACTGGGCAGCCCCTAAATGTGAGTTGCTTACTGTATAACCTCACCCTTACAGGTCTGCATCTCAAAACTCAGGACACAGAGCCCAGTAGTATTTAATGGTCCTATAGCCGAAACCGGTTTGGCTCAGTGGATAGAGCGTCGGCCTGCGGACTGAAGGGTCCCGGGTTCGATTCCGGTCAAGGGCATGTACCTGGGTTGCGGGCACATCCCCAGTGGGAGGTGTGCAGGAGGCGGCTGGTCGATGTTTCTCTCTCATCGATGTTTCCAGCTCTCTATCTCTCTCCCTTCCTCTCTGTAAAAAATCAATAAAATATATTTTAAAAAAATGGTCCTATAAAAAAGTCCAATTAAATTTAAAATTTGTGCCATGCAAAAAAAAAAAAATGTAAAAATGAAGCTCCACAGTTCTAAGTATTATTTCTATCATATTTTGACAAGGAAGCAAACTGAAAAACTAAGAGTCTTCTTCACATTTTTGGCTTCCATGCAATAAAACTAAACTATATTTTTACTCCCATACATGTATGGTTTTATAATCAAGAGTTTAAAAAGGCTAAAATGAGATTAATTAGGACCATGTCTTTTTTCAGGGCTTAAAACACCCATATTTTTCAAGTTCACCAAATGATTTTTAATTGCTCTCCAGAAATGACATGAGAAAAACTCAGCTTGAATTTCTTACTCCAGACATTTCAATGTAATTTTTCAAGAGTCAAGAGAGAGACAGTTTTCCATTTAATATATTACTTTACTCATCATCTTTGCTATGGCTGTGTTCCAAAAGAGAAGACAGTGATACATATTAACTTATAAAGGATCACATGTGAATCTTGCATTAACAGGCTTGTTTGCCATTTCCTATGTGATTGGAGAACCAGCTCTCCTCAAAGCTTTGCTCAGTTGATGTTTAGGAGGATGCCTCAGTGGTTGGGTAGTATTTATTGAGTAATGACCTTTCTTTTCCCTGTGGGGGTTTATATACTGAGGTCATGCTGTATTTCTTCTTTATATGTTGATATCTGTAATCAAGTACTTTTGCTCAAACAATATGCTGAATGACTAATTTGAAAAAGAGAGGTTAATTTATGATCTTACTTTTCAATACTAACCTAGTTCCCAATCTCCTGGTTCGTAGTCCCATAAAAATGGACCTTATTAATTTTCCAAAAGAAGCAGCATTGACTGGGTCCAGTTTGTGTTCCTGACAGTGTCGCAGGTAGTGGTTGTATAGAGTGCTTCTGGGAAGGCTCACTCCTTCTGCTGTCTCGTAATTGTCCAACAGCCACTGGAGCTAGTGTAAACAAGACAGAGTCAACATGGAGAAACCAGACGATTAACAGGAAGGTCACAAGATAAAACATATCATCTGAAAGTGCAATATACAGAAATACTTGGATCGCCATCAAGCCTTGTAATAGGGTAAACTGTTGTAATTCAGAGGCCAGTGTGGTCTGACTTTGAAAACTCTCAGAAATGTAAATAGCTGTACATCCCTATGACCGCAGGCCATCTCTATTCCTACAAACATTCAAACACATGTAGAGAGAAAATATTTTTTTCTGTATTGCTAGTTTGGAAACAAACACCTCTTCAGGGAATTCTAATAATTCCATTAACTGGTCTAAAAAATAATTTATAATTGTTACAAAACAAAATATGTTCCAAACATTGCAGTATGGCACATATGTTGTTAGAGTTGGCTTGTTATAACACATGAACAGCAGGCTTCCTTGTATGAGTTTTTATATTAAGGTTCTAGTCATTTAATACAATTCTAATTGCTTATCTAATTTACTTACACAAGGTAATGCAATAATGGCATTAACTACTAAGATAGAATTCTCTAATCAAAAAGGAAAACAAGTCAGTCATTTCTTCCCCACAAGGTAAGAAACTCACTAGATTTTGGCTAAAAAGTTACATGTAAAGAAAAGGAATCATTTAAATTTTTCTACCTTAAAACTATGTTGCTTTTTCATAATTTTGGAAATTTTCATAATGTAGTTGGTAAAGCAATATTTTCTCAATCAGGGTTCTCATTTTAAAGTTTTATGTTGCTCTGTGTATACATTTTTAAAAAATCTTTAAAGTATAGAATGAGCAAGGAAATTTTAGAAAGGCTAATTAGGTATGGATTATTGAGTTTTAATATTAGAAAAATTAAATTATTAATTTGTTCATTTATTTATTTACAAAAGGAGAACTAAAATAGATTTAAATGACTTTGTTAAAATCATATATTATCTCAGTACTTGAGTCGGGTTTCCAACATTTCCTGATCACTAACATACCAGTTATTATTTCCACAAAGGCAGCAAATATTTCACACTACTTGTTTCATCAAAAATTTCCATGCCAATTATAAGAGATATTCTAAAGAGTTAATATTTTACATGCAATTCAATGGAATATTTCTGTACACAGCCTTAACTATTTACTAGTTTTCTTTTAATATTAATTACGTGACAGTAAAGATAAATATCTAAAATGAGAATTTACTAATTTCTCATGATCAAGAAAATGATCTTGTAGACAGATTTTTTTTAAAAAATTTGAAAAAGCAAATTCAATGAAATATTTGAGGGTTTTATCATAAATTGTCTCTTATAAAAGTGGAATATAGTACAAAAATTAAAGTTCAATATAAAATATTTTGAGTCTAAAGGTATGTTAAAAGAGACCATTTTTAAATGAAGAAAAATTTTCACAGAAGGAGTGCGATAATTACAGCAAAAGTTGACTTTAAAATACTCAGAAGTCTAAATGATATTAGTCACATTCAATGAATAATTTAGAGAAAATAAAGCTTTTATTGGATTAGCTATGTGGTTCTCCGCAATGTCTAAACAAGTCAAATATAGTGAACTGTTCTGCAAACTGATGTTCTTTTTATAAGGGTTTGCATTTTTAGAGATTCTTTATTTCTAAACCCATTTTCTTAAAATCCAAATTTATTTGTAATACATATGAGTGTGTGTGCATACACATAAACATGTGTACATATACTTACATATGGGTATAATATGTGTGATGAGTTGGTTGAAAAATTCCCCAAGAGTGGGTACTCTGGCACCTGTAATTTTGGCAGCAAAGCTGCATCTTACTCCCTTGCCCCTTGTCTGTAGGAAGAGGAACTTTAGTCCCTGCCGGAGGCCTAGACTTACTTTGGAAAAGCAGAAAGAAGTCAAGTGGAAGTAAAAGCCCTGAAGGATGGTGGGGGCTGTGCTGCGCCATGGCTGCTCCAGCGAGGAAGCCAGCCAATGGCTGTACCACCTCGGGGCAGTGCCCCTGCAAACTCACTGAGTACCTAGAGACTGGTTTAGGTCCCACCAGATAGCTCTTGAGATTTATCTGGGAATTATAATCTGTGTTCTACATGCCGCTATTTAACCTTCAAGTTTTGACAGCAATGAAACTGTAAATCAGACATTTGAGTCTAAAACAGTCTAAGGAAGGATTAATTTTATTGTAAGAGAAACCTGGCAGTTAAGTATAACATAAAGGCAAACACTTCATGCACTGCCCAAGGATAATTTGATACCTGCTATAAGAAATATTTCTTCCTTGGGTATTGTGTTTAATAAAATGTATTTTGACACTAACATTCAATATCTTTAACATTAAATAATTTAGAACTAAGTTATTACTATTTCTTTTATTCTTTTTATAAGGTGTTTTATAAAATATTTATTTACACTTGTGATTTTAAAAACCCATAAAATACCATAGAAACTTTTAACCTTTATCTTTAAAAGCTGATTATCCTACTAATGAATTAACATAAATTCCTGTAAGAGTGGAAACCAAGATAATTGCATCTTTCAACCTTTACATTTAACCTATATTAATCAGGGTAGATTAAGGAAGGTGAATAGGTCCTATTTTTCCCAAAGGCAAATACTGATTGACAAATTAAAAAAATACATCTTGCATTCTCCAATTAACATCTAAATGTAACATTTAGCATTTTCCCCCCAGATGAATTCTTATACATTAGGATTCATTTTAAGTTTAGTTTACTGATGATATATATTTTACAAGTCTTATTCCTACCATAACTTAGATTCACAGTACAGCAAAGTCGAGGGAGAGTGAGAATAAAATAAAGTTTTGCTTTGATCTCAATATATTTCAGTAGCTAAAACCAGTAAAAGCCATGAAATAATTATTTGCTAGATTGTGAAAAGTGTATAAAAATTAATGTCTAAAGTTTTTTATGTACTTTCAATGGAATTTTTAAAAAATGCACATGCTAAAGAACATTATGTGAAAATTGGGAACAATTAACTTAAGAACATTTCTACATTCAAATTTATAATCTAAAATATCACAAATTGAATACAATCTAAACCATTAAAGGCCAATTTATATTAATTACAACAGAGGAATATAAATAAGTTTTCAATGAAGAGAATTAGAATATTCTAATTTGATTTAGACAGACTATGCATCATTTACCTGTAACATCTTCTCATACAAAAAATTTAGAAATAAAAACATTCAAATAAAAAATTTTATACTAACAGACTGATGTAAAAAGTGAAATTAAAAGTACTATTCTAAAAACATGGAGATAAATGATATCACCCTTGGCTTTGATTTTCCGAAGGATTAGATTGTTTGGAAAAGAAGCAGTGATCTACTTTTAATCTGATGGTGGCACAAGGGGAAATGATAGAGTGACCATATATTCTTTCACTCAAATGGTGAGCAGGGAGAAGACCTCTCTCTACCAACAATATTCACACATACACCCAATGAAGCAAACTGGAAAACAAAACAGTCCTATCTAATAAAAGAGAAACATGGTAATTGGCGTACGACCGCTACCCTTCCCATTGGCTAATCAGGGCAATATGCAAATTAACTTCCAGCCAAGATGGCAGCCGGCAGCCAGGCAGCTTGAAACTAACATGAGGCTTGCTTGCTTCAGTAACGGAGGACTCCAACGTTCCCCGCCTGCCGCTGCCGGCCTCTGACCTGCAACTCTAAGCAACTATGTAACAAATATAGAAGCTAAAAAAAAACCCCAGAAACCGACTTTAGTCCCGGGCTTCAGCCAGCAGGATCTCAACATTGTAAACAAAGGCCAAAAACCTACTTTCAGCAGCGGAGACCTAAGAGCTGGAGCCAAGCCTCAAAGCTAAAGCTGGCCCAGAATAAAAAAGAATAAAAAGAAAAAAAGGA